TAGAGAAAAATTCCCCAATATCAGAAAACAGCTCAATATACAAATAAGTGAGGCTTCCAGAACACCAAACAACTATGATGAAAAAAAGATATCCACCCGGAAAACAGAATTTTAAAGGCACTTAGAGAAAAACAAGAAATCACATATAAAGGTAAAGCAATTAGCTGGACATGGTGGCACACGTGAGTTCAAGGGCAGCCTTAACTGCCTAGCGAGACCCTGTCTCATTTTTTAAAAAGTAAATCAATTAGAATTACAGCAGATTTCTCAATACAGACTTTAAAGACAAGAAGAGCTTGTAGTGAAGTGCGTCAAGCCCTGAGAGCAAATAACCTCCAACTTAGATTAACATACCCAACAAAGCTTTCCTTCAAAATGGATGGAGAAATAAGAACATTTCACGAGAAAGAACAGCTCCAGAAACATATAAATGCTAAACTAGCACTCCAAAAATTACTCAAAGGGCCGGGGATTTAGTTCATGGTTCCACCGCCTGCCTCCAAAGTGCAAAGTCCTGAGTTCGATCCCCAGTACCAAAAAAGAAAAAGAAAATTCAAAAATTACTCAAGAGTATCCTAGGGCCAGGGATGTAGCTCAGCAGCACAGCACCTGCCTAGCAACTTCGAGGTCCTGAGCCCCTCGGCCCCCCAAAAAAGAATATCCTGGGCAGAAGTAATGAAACCAATAAAGCTAAACCCCAGATGAAATGAAAACACCAAGCAAGTTCAATAGATAAACAACAAAAAATGACAGGAAAAGGAAAAGCAGTCACTAACAGGAAGAATGCAATGAGAGTAAATAATCCACACATATCAGTATATAGCTCAACATTAAAGGCCTCCTCCACCCTCCAATTAAAAAACACAGATTAGCAGATTGGATACAAACAGAATCCAATGGTCTATCGAATTCAAGAAATTCACCTAATCTGAAAAGATATTTTAAATCAGCAACCACAAACACTTCAGGCCACTGGAAATATAGCTGAGATGATCAAGATCAAGATCCAAATCAAATTCACTGTCCTTGTCTTCATGCATCTTATCTTCCAGAGGAGACTATTATTTTCTGTTGCGCGTGAAGGGCTGTGCACCAAAGCCAAGCAGATGAAGGGAGCTGGAGACGCCATGGCAGGTGGCAGGCCAGGGCCCGTGAGGACAGGTGGGGAGAAGGCCTGGCAGCCACGTGGCCTCTGGGGATGCACTGTCAGGCAGGGATCAGTTGTGCAGGGCCCCGAGTTGCGAACACCTGCCTGGGCTGGAGGAGCAACAGACCACATCTGGGCAAAGGAACAGTGGCAGACAAAGGGCGGGTGGTACCTTTTTGAAAAAGCCTTACAGACTTTCCACTAGGATTACAGGGCAAACTTTCCTCCTCCCCAGCCCCCAGGGCCCAGTCAGATGAGTGCACTGCAGCGTCCCCTGAGCCTCCTAAAGAGCAGAGTTGCAACTGCTCCTCTGGCTGCTCCATCAAGGACTGGGTAGGACAATGTTCCGCCCTGGAATGGTCTGGGGTGTTGTCATCTGCGGGCCGGCTGAACGGGTGGCAGGGAGGAGACAAGGAGGCCACAAAGCCTCCTAAGCCCACCTGTGCTGCAGCGTCCACACATCGAGTCCAGGGCTGCTCAGTCTTCCTCTCCCAGTGAGGCCTGGCCCAGGTAGCTTCCCTGCCAGCCTCACGGCTCAGCCTCCTGCTCAGGCCGGATCGAGAGCGGAGTGGCTGTGCCCCCGTGCTCCCTCAACTCACCTTGGTCTCTCTAACCAGTGAGGGACTCTAACCAGGGAGGTGACACCCACGTGTCAGGCTCAGGGTCTGACCCGATTCCCAAGACCTCGTGGACACGGATGTTTCTTGGCCACTGAGTGACCGCAAGGCAGAGAGATGTCTCCAGCCCACGCAGCTGGCACCTGGGTCCAGGATGGACACACAAGTGCACTGGTGGCCTCAGTCTCCTGGATGAGACCGTGGACCCCAAGTCCCTGTCGCTTGTTCCATTGCTGCTGTAGTGCTGGAAGCCCCTCCAGCTGGGATCAGTCTGCTGAGCCTCCAGCCCAGGGTCTCAAGGAGGAGCCCTAACCCTAAGTCCCCCTCTCTGGAGTTTCACATGACGGCCACGGTGACACCCCGGTCCTGCCAATCCAGTGGGTAGGGGGAAGACTGTGGGGACCACCTGCATAGTGGCCTCAGGTGGCCCTGCAGCCACTTGACCTGTGGGCGATGCTTCTCAGAGTCCCCTTTGACCCTGGCTGAAGTCAGGCCCCCCTGCAACGGCCAGGCCAGAATTCCATCTGTTTAAAACACTATCAAGGGCCAGGGATTCAGCTCAGTGGCACTGCACCTGCCTCGCAAGCGCAAGGACCTGGGTTCAATCCCCGGTACCAAAAAATAAAATGCTATCAAAACTCACAAATAACAAAAGGTAAACATACACAGTAACACAAAACTAGGTGACCTGGTGTGTTTATCTCCATTTCCACGATTATCAGATTCACAGCTCAGCCAGTAAATTTCAACTGACCCAGAGCCCAACACTTTTTTCAGTTTTCACAGATGAACAAAGCCAACATTCAGACTGGTTTAGGATCGCCGACTGCGTATGAAATGCCGGAGGTTAGTTAGTCCACTCTGAAGTTTGCAACCTAAAACAAAAACTCAGATAGTTGTAATGTCTGCTGTTCAGGAAGAATTGTTATCGGAGCAACATTTAGATTGTCCCGCAGAAGTCTGATTTGTCACTTTTTTCCTGAACATCTCCAATCCTGCTTTTAATTACAAATGAGGTGAGTTTAGCTTGAGTGTTGGTTATGGGTTGTTCAGCCTCATACTGACCGGATGGTACACCTGCAGCAACAGTAGTTTGAGCCTCTTATTTCTCAGGACGATGAAGCCATGTGTGCAGTACAGACAGGCGTTACACATAACCCTGTAGCTAAAGGACGTGAGAACACCCTTCCCCCTAGAACTTTTACAGGGGTTGTTGGCTCTTTTACCACTGGAAGAGAGCAGTCAGCCAACAGAGAACACGAGGTCTTTGGCCTCATCTAAGGGCACTTCCGCCCCTACTCTGATAAGCACTGACCCCCAGGGACGGCTCCCTGCCTGGCTCCCGGCCCCCTCTGCTATGACAAGGCCACCTTCCCTGCAAATCCTGAGTGGGGTCCCGCTGACTGTGAGCTGGCTACCACCTGTCCAGTATCCAGAAACCCTGGCCTCTGCGGCACGGCACGCCTTTCCAAGGGCCTTCCTTTTCCAGGTGACCAAAACCGAGAGCACCCATCCTGCGTCACTTCTGTCCACAGGCCATGGCTGGGGCTGCAGCCACCAAAGGACACTCCAGAACACACTGCAGGAAACTGGCATCTGTCCACAAGGCTCACATACGAAGTACGTGGACAGGCCTTCCTTCTGTGCAGACGTGAGGCAAGTGCTCGCCGCTTCAAGCCTGACACCTGGGCTGGGGTCAGGGCAGGAGCCACAGCGACGGGTGATAGAGGTGCCCAGACCTACTAGGGGGGCAACACCTACGGCATGCACGTGCAGAACCGACAAAGTCCAAGGCCATTCTGGTCAGGGAGGTAAGAGGGAGAGCGGTGCTTGCGGTGGATGTGGTCAGGACCCCTCCCGGCTCTTCCACCAACCAGCTCTGCAGGCTCCATCACATTCCGCGCGGAGCCGGCCCCCAGACGCGTGCCCAGTGACTGAACCCGGTGAGCCCCAGGGAGCCCTGGGGAGCGCATCAGAGCCAGGTCATCTGCAGGCAGCCACCTCATCCTACAGTGCTAGGAGAGACGCACGAGGCGGTAGGCTGCACACCAGCGTCCTAAAGTTCCGTCTAAACCGGAAGAAACATGTTTTACACCAGGAAGGAAAGTTCCCACTCTGCATGACCAGGCCGGAAGGTGGGGCGGGCGGGTGCCTGGGCAGGCGAGGCCAGGCTCGGAGCAGGCAGTCCCTGGTGGCTGTGGGTTCCCTGCCTCGTGCGCCATGGTCCTCCCCCCTCGGCCCTGGCTCACTCGCTGCTGCCGCCTTCGCCTCCCGAGCCCCGCCGGGGGTGCTGCACCCAGAACCGAGCCCAGCATGGCAACACGGACCAGGTCCAAGCGCAGAGAAAACGGGGTCACCTCCCAGGGTAAGCGGCACCAAGGCTGAGGGGTGCGTGGGCTTTGTACCCCCACCCTGCCGTTCCCAGAGCTTCAGCCCCACACCCTCCCCGCACGCGTTCCTCCAGGGTCCAGTCCCACAGTCCCAGTCCAGCCCTTCAACTGGAACTTCCCCCGCATCTAAGTTACTCCCGGGATGGAGGGAGCCAGTCTCCTCTTCCCCACACACTTGAGCGAGCTGTTACAGGGACGTGTACCTGTGCCCTCCTGAGACACGACCCTCCCTCGCCTTCACAGACAACCTTAAACTAACGGGTGGATGAAGGGGAAGGGTCGGGCACGGGCACGGGCTGAACCCTCCAAAATCTCGACAACTCAGCAAGGCTAACTGCCTCAGAAGCACACAACAAAAACAAAAGAACACCTCAGGGCTTCGATCTCAATCCCCAGCACCACAAAAAAATTTCTGGAGTAGGTGGGGGCCTAGCACCAGACTCGGCTACACAGCTCCCAAGGGCCTCAGCCCCTCCCCAGGGGCCCCTCGCCGAGGAGGCACTGCTGGGGCAGCAGCCGGAGCTGCACCAGGCCCTGGTGGAAGGCCAGGAGGAGGCCCGGGCCCTGGTGCTCAGGGTGCAGAAGCTGAAGGAACAAATGAGACACTGAGAGCCCAGGAGGAGTCGCCTGAGCTGCCCCCGGGCCCTGCCCACCAGCCCTTCCAGCAACAGCCTGGCCTCTCCTGTCCCGCCCAGGCCACTGAGAAGACAGGAAAAGCCAGGAACAGGAGCAGGAGCTTAGTCCACACCCTCTGACGCCGACCCACAGCAGGGAACGCGGCCCTGCATTTTACCCTGGTTCAAGCCCACAGCCACCTGACCAAACACACAATAAAGGACGGACCACTTGACGGATACCACAGACACGTCTGTGTTTCATTTTTAGTTTTGTTAAAAAAAAAAAATGCTGATAAATCAGGAACGGAGTTTAGGAGTGGTGGTGATGCAAAAGGAGCAAGCCTCGGACCGGGTCGGGGCTGCCGGGGCAGGTGGCAGCAGCGTCTCCTTCACCCCCACGCCCAGTGTCCCCTCCTGCAGAGACTGTCACATTCTAGGACGGGCGTCCTCTACCGCGTCTGTTCAACTGGAGAGAAAACACAACTGTGACGACAGAGCACAGGAAGGCCCAACTCCGGAGAGACAGGTACGTTCCTGTGACACCTGCGTGCTGTGTGGATTCAGAGACGGGCTCGGGAGTGGAGAGAGAAATCATGTGACAAGAGAAGGAAGGAAGGTCCCCACATGGCCCCTAGGACCAGGAGCGCCCACGCCCTGCGCAGGGGACCCAGGACAAACATCACGATGAGGAGACTGAGCAGGGGAGCGGCTACTCACTGTAGGAGGAGATGTCTATCTCGTCAGGCAGCTCACTGATATTGACCTCAAAGCGGTCCTGCACATCGTTCAGTATCTTGGCATCATTCTCATCCGACACAAACGTGATAGCCAAGCCCTTGGTGCCAAACCGGCCTGCTCTGGCCACCTGGAAGGAGACACAGGGTCACACTGAAGGACCCAGGAGAGGAAGCCACCCAGAGGACAGGACACAGGGAACTGACGGGTGGCCGGGGCTCACCCGATGCAGGTAGGTGTCAGAGTCCTCGGGCATGTCATAGTTAAAGGCGATGTTCACCCGCTCGATGTCCATGCCGCGGCCGAACAGGTTGGTAGCCACAAGAATTCGTCGCTGAAAATCTTTAAACTGCTGATACCGAGAAAGCCTTTATGAGAAAGGAAATGAGAAAAATGGTTGAGTGCCTGCCTGGCTCCTCACCCACGCCGGAACTGCACTCCCCGCCCCACACCTCTCTTCCTGGGGCATCCCACGGTGGATGGCGATGGCGGGGAAGTTCTGCTCCACCAGGAGCTGGGCCAGGGCGATGCACCGCTGCACGGACTTCACAAAGATCACCACCTGCGAGGGCGTGGTGAGCGGGCGCGGGTCCGTGATGGAAGAGAGAAGTTACCAGTGAAGCTGTCAGGAGTTTTATTCTTCTAAAGGGTCTTAGTCCCTCATTCTCCGTCACGCACTCCTCTTCTGCTCTAGATAACTTAGCCCTTCTCTCGGCTGATTCTCCTTAGCAGGCGGGCCTGAGGCGGCGTGCAGAGTGGTAAGCGATCGCCAGACACGCTAGGAGACAAGGGTGGGGCTACCCATGGACTCGTCAGCACGAGAACGCAGGGCTGCCGAGACGGCGGCTGCTCTTCCTTCCCGCAGCGCTCACCCTGAGGACCCTAGCTCCCACTCCAGAAGCAGTCTTAGGGCAAACAGACCGCACAGCAGGGAGACTGATGGGACGTTTTCTCCGATAAGGAATGCACAGACTAAGAGCCCTAAGTGACCGAAACAGCTTTTTACACGCCGGCTAAGACCTTTCAAGGGTTTGACTTTTTGAGGTCTATTTTACTTGAGCCCTTCACTGTCTATCCATTTCAGCATCTTCCATCCTGCTCATGCTCAGTTCCCAATAAATGTTCTCATTTAAGAGAATTTCTCAGCCAGCTGGTGGCCCACAGCGGTAATCCCAGCACCCTGGGAGGCTGAGGCAAGTGAGTCCCAAGTTCAAGACCAGCCCGAGTAAAACCCAAAAGATCTGGGGATGCAGCCTGGCGTGAAGGCTCTGGGCTCCGCCTCCACACCACCCCTCACAAAGGGGATTTCTCCCGAGGGGGAATGCAGTCAGTTTTAGAGGACTTGCCTGGTATTCACAAGGCTGTAGGTCTGATCCCCAGCACCAAAAAACACACAACTGATATGTGGCTCCCTAAATAAAGATTACTCAATCGCAGGCTGCTGCTACAGCTGGAGGTGTCCAAGGCTCACCACCCTACTGGACCTGGAACAACTGACCTGGTTGAACTCAAGGACATCCAGAAGGTCAAAGAGCTTCCGGTTCTTCTCATTGTCCTTCAGTTTCACGTAGTACTGCTGCAACCCGTGCAGCGTCAACTTCGTCTCATCGTCCACGAAGATCTCCATTGGCTGAGGGGGAGGAGGGGTGGGGGATGGGAGGGGCAGAGTGGGGGGGTTAAACCTGGGGGGGCGGAGGAAGCTGATCTCCAATACACCCCACAGGGGATGGGGAGGAGAGACTGAAAACCCCCCCACCACCAAAAATACCCATTTGACTGTGGTCTCCTTCACATCAGGTCTCATGTTCTTCCCGTGAGTTGAGTTTTAAGACTGCCCAACTGAAAACTCATGGGAAAGAACTTCACAAAATAACGGGGCAGTGAAACCACCCAATGCCAAGAGGCCAGTACCTCAACAGAGGCAGTGGAGGAAGGAAAACAACGGGAGGATGCACAAAGGGGAGGCCACAACCCAGCACCCTAGGGCGATGGGAAACAGGGACGTGGGTCAGAAAACCTCCATCAAAGCCAGCTTCGAGAGCATGGGAGAGCCAGGAATGCTCCATTTCATCTCAACTACACAGCCAAACGCACATTTGAAAGTGGATGTCTTCAAGGTCAGAATGCTACAGTGGCTGTAGTCAAAATGCCTTTTAGGAGAAGTAAAATTGCTCGAGATCAGTAACAGCTTGCTCTCAGAGCACAAGCAAATAGTGTGGATGACACTGGTCTCTAAGGGTAAAACCATTTACAGGTTTACCTAGAAGTAACAGTAACTGGTGCCAAAAAGCAAACACAGCAGCACGTATGCATCCATTAAAAATAAAACTCACCCTTGAAGGGTGGGAGTGGGGGATAAAAGGCCAGGAACTGACACAAGACAACTCCAAAGCCCGACTTCCCTAGGCCTCTTTGGACCATCTCGGGGGACTGAGACAGGAAGTAAGTGTCACAGGAGAAAAGTAGATGCCCACGGAAGGCAGACTAGCCAGCCAGGCTTTCCAAAACGCAGTTCAAATCGAACTCTGGCCCTAAGCAGAGGTGGTGAGAACTCTGTCACCCCAGGGAAGGAGTCGGCAGGGGAGGGACACAGCCCGCTGCTCACGGCTCCACCCAGCCCCTACCCTAACTCCATGTGGTTCTGCTCCACATTACCTGGCCTAGTCCCTCTCCACTCAGTATTTAAAAATGACTTTTTTAAAGAAGAAAAAAATCCACCACCCCATTTAGGACAGCCCTCCCCCAACACATATGGGAGACACGGGCGCAGCACAAGGTTCAGGAAAAACCGGGAACAGAAAAAGAGGCTGGTTTGGTCCTCGGCTTCCTGGTCAGGGCTCCTGCGGCCTCCGCTGCCACCATCCACTGTCAGCGCCGTCCGCATCCCTCGTCGCGCGCCGCTTCTCTGCCGCCAGCTCTCATCAGCCAAGGCTCCGACGGGTGCAGGAGGTGTGGGCGGGAAGGTGGAGGGGAAGGGGACCGAGGTGCCAGAGGCCCCCGCCCCTGCAGTGGGAGGGCGCAATCGGAGCTGGGTCGTCTTCTTTCGGACATGCCCTGCGTCTGTCTGTCCCTCTCTGCTCTCCTGCCCAGGGAGGTACACGCGACGCCACCTCGAGGATGCGTGGCTGCGAGGGGCTGCGCAGATGACGGGTGGGTGGCAGGGCAGGAAATCTGCCCTCCCCCAAAGGGAGAAGAGGTTCAAAATGCTGGGATTTAAAAGGCGAACACTACCGGCTCTCACGTTAACCCGACCAAGTCTTCCGGAGTTTCCCTAGCTGCGCACGGACCCTGGCGCTAGCTGTCTCTGCCTCTTGTCTCTTCAGGGAGTCATCGCTCCTGACGGGCACAGGCCCCCTTCTTGGTGTTCGAAGGACAAGGGAGTCTGGAGGAAGAGGGCGAGGAAGGGGAGGAGGCTGTGGGCGGGGAGTGGAGGGAGAGAAGGTAGAAGGGTATTTACATCTTGCATGAACTTGCGGCAGACTGGACGAATCTCTTTGCCCAAGGTGGCACTGAACATCATGACCTGCTTCTCATGGGGGGTCATGCGAAAAATTTCCTGGACATCCCGACGCATGTCTGCCAGAAGAACAGGAAATTACAAAAGAAAATCAACACTGTGATAATCAAAGATCAGGGGCCCTGGGTTCAGTCCCAAGTACGAGCAAAAAGAGAGGAAAAGCAGGTCTTGGGGGCTCTGGGCCGTCAGCCATGGGCGACAGATACGAGGCGTCCCAGCGCAGAAGTGCTCCTGCACAGCCAGCATCCTGGGGCGCCGCCAGGCCGCTCCCCAGCCCGCCACTCACCGAGCTGTTCAAGCATCTTGTCGCACTCATCCAGGATGAAGTGTTTAATATGTTTGAGGTTGAGGCTCTTATTTCGAGCCAGGGCGAGAATGCGGCCAGGAGTCCCCACGACGATGTGCGGGCAGTTCTTCTTCAGCACCTCCTCGTCCTTCTTGATAGACAGACCACCAAAAAACACCGCGACCTGCAGGCCAGGGAAGAGTCTCACAAGGAAAGAAAATCCCCACCTCCGGCTCCTGTTCCTTCAGGATGATTCTGCTAATCAACTGTCGGAGCACTTCAGAACGAATGAAGACGACAACGATCACCTCATCGACAATTCTCACACAGGCCCAAATACTGAGGCAACAAACAAAAGTGATTTTCCCAGTCACACAGCCAGTGGAAGCAGTCAGGACCAGCATGAAGTTCTCATGTCTTACCCTAACCAGTCTTTCCCGACTCTTACAGCCAGGTTTCATTGTAAGAGTAAGATCAGCAAGCCGGGGATTTAGTGCAGTGGTTCTACTGCCTGCCTTAAAAGTGCAAGGTCCTGAGTTCGTTCCTCGGTACCAAAAAAAAAAGACTTGAGCCTTAATACTGTGACAAACACCACCAGAAACTGCTTTCCAGTTTCAAGGGGAAAACAGCGAAGGGATTGGACCATCAAGACCCTAATTTTTTTTTTTTTTTTTTTTGGTACCAGGGATCGGGTCCTTGCGCTTACAAGGCAGGCGGCGACACCACTGAGCTAAATCCCTGGCCCAAGACCCTAATTGCAGCAAACTAGGAGGTTCAGCATCATCTACGAAGGATTGTTGCCAAAAAACATTTAACTTCAACCAGTTAAGCTTTCAAATGTAAACTTCAGCCCATAAGAAATACTAGGAGGAAGAGCAAGCCAAACACTAAGGGAGTAACCACACAGATCCAGAATGGGAATTCTGCAGAACTGGCCCAGTCTCCAACCAGTCAGGAATTTTGAGCAGGAATGAGTTAAGTAATGAGAATTCTGTATTTGTTTTTGGTTTTGTTTTTTTTTTCCCAACAGAATCTATGTTTCTCAAGGTGGCCTTGAACTCCTAGGCTCAAGCGATCTCCTGCTTCAGCCTCCCATGTGGCTGGGACTACAGCTACCTGCTCAGATGCACCCAGTCCCATTTGATCATGACACTAAGTCTCCTGAGGGGGATGACAGTGACTGAACTGGGCCTGGAGAGGGGGACCGCAGCCCTTGCTCACTAATGAACTCAACAATAAACACCTCCTTAGGCACAGCAATGTAAATGGTTTCCTGGTTTTCAGCTCTTAGAATCAACCCACAGATTAAGACTGCTTGGTGCAAGGATAGAAATTACATCTACAGACTGGCAATTTGAGATACATTTGGCCTTCAGGTCACATTTAAAGAATTAACACAGTTTTCAAAATATCAGAAGAGTGTAAACTAATGTTTCATGAAGTCAGAAAGTACTGTAAGCTGACAAATTAAAAAACAGTGCCTAGGACAGGGAGTGCAGCTAGCATGTGCAAGGCCAGAGTTCAAACCCCAGCACCATTAACTGGGGGGCGGGGCATGTTAGGGGATTGCCTTCTGTGAAACAGGGTGGGGAGCGGGGGAGACACACATGTTTTCACTGTAGGACACTGTAAGTTACTTACGAACAGGTATGACTACTATTTTGACTTTTAAGAAATTTTTGGTTTAGGTCTATGACTCAAACGTTCCTAGCTCCTTTAAAGTAATAATAGATAGAAAACTTGTAATGATTTGAACAAAAGTGCTGTTCTTCACGGTAGCCAGGATGACAGGAAACCCTAAATCAGTGCCTATCACCTCCAGTGGTGTAGGATTACTATGTTATGTGTTTCCATACTCATGGACCTGGGACAGGACCCACACAACCTGTTTCCATCAAGTTCCCAAATGATGCTGAACCTACTGGTATGGGACCCACACCAAGAATACCAAGGTTAGGGCCGGGGATTTAGCTCAGTGGTTCTGGCGCCTGCCTCGAAAGCACAAGATCCCAAGTTGGATCCCTGGTACCAAAAAAAAAAGAATACCAAGATTATATAAAGCAAACCAACTCTGTGGCAGCCCCCAGGTGGCTTTCTATTTCCCACCCTTTTAAACAACTCTCAAAGCCAAGCACCACACTGGAGCTGTTTCGGAGCTTCCAGCTTTCTCTTGCTCCACACCCCAAAACTCTCAAAACTCTGCTTCAGTCAGTGTAGAGAAGCAGTAACAGGGCTGGGGATTTAGCTCAGTGGCACCGTGCCTGCCTCGAAAACGAAAGGTCCTGGGTTTGATCCCCAGTACCAAAAAAAAAAAAAGAAAAGCAGTAAAAGAGTGGTCTACTAAGGATCAGCAGAGCCCCATCACATAGTCTCATGAAACACAGGTGTGTTTACACTGTGTGAAGCCAAGGCAAACTAAGCTTTTCCAAAATTAAACTATAGCTAGCATCTGAGATCGTAAACCAAAAGAGCCCTACATTTCAATACAATCTCTGCCACACACTAAGTCTGCAGGACCTACTGTGAGTTACATGTGTGCTGAGGTGCTCACACAAGTGTTTAACATGAAGTTCCCGGGCCCTGCAACTCCCCACACCCTCCCTCTCTCAGTTCCTTCAGCCTGGCTCACCTTGACATTGGGCATGTATTTGGAGAAGCGCTCATACTCCTTGCTGATCTGAAAAGCCAACTCCCTGGTGTGACACATCACCAGCACAGAAACCTTGGGAGGAAAGCAGGTGGAGATAATCACACAGAAAGTACACACCTTCGTTGCTCCCTCTAGGGAAGTGATTGCCCCAAAAGCATACCAGGCAGATCATAAATGCCTTCAGCTGAGTGCTTAATACAGTATGTTCCTCCTAGCTGTCGAGGGTGACACTAGTCACCTGAGCGAGCAGTTAAGCACTCGGAACTCTAAAACCCTTCCCATATGGTCCTACCCAAAACACCCTCCCGACTCTCCTCAAACATACCTGTCCGGTAACTGGCTCCAGCTGCTGCAGTGTGGCCAAGACAAACACTGCTGTCTTTCCCATGCCTGATTTGGCCTGACACAGGACGTCCATTCCTAGAATGGCCTGAGGGATGCACTCATGCTGGACTGTAAGAAAGAAGCAAGCAGCAAGCAAGCAGAAAGTTAAGACCTATCTCCAGATAACTTCACCTTTCTCACCATACCACACCCATTTCTTCCCACTCAGGTCTCCAAGTATTCACCTGGCTCTTGCAAACTTTCAGGCCCTTTGTTCCTCTCTCTCCCCTAACCACGTTAATCCCACGATCAAACCCTCCTAGCTCCTTCGTGCTCTCACTTCCTCAAGGTCCGTCCTCCCCAGCGCTGCTAACGGCCCTCCTGCACCTCCCAGCAGCTCACCTGCAGTGCTCCTGGCTCTGTCCTTATTTTTCTTAAACTGTAACAATCCATGATATCTGAATGCCTGCCACAGGCCATCTCTCCTACTTAGGTTGCCATGCTTTGGGTCACGTAACCCTGCAACCTTGAACAAAATGAAGCACTTGGTACCTGACCCAAAAGCCAGCCGTCTTCAGACCAGTCAAAAAGGTTTCCAGAGACCAGAGCTGGCCTGGCCCAAAAGAGGGAAACTAAAGGCTTGACTAGGGCCTTAATGGAAACTTAACAGCCAAAATGACAAAGTTAAAAAGAAGAAAAGGCCTGGGGATTTAGCTCAGTGGTTTCACCGCCTGCTGTACAAGCGCAAGGACCCGAGTTCAATCTCTGGCACCAAAAATAAATAAATAAATAAATAAATAAAATAAAAAGAAGAAAAGCCAGGCACAACAGCAGTCTTCTAAGTTGTTTCTGGATCACCAGCACTTTTGTGCCATCGTGAAAGACAAGACTACGTAAGCCTCTTCTGTTGTTCAGACAGTTTTTGGTACTTACGTCCTACTCTATTCTAAATAGAAATCTTTGCCACCTGAAGAACCATCTCTTTCGTGTATGCCCTGAAGAGCCTAACGAGTACTCCTGCATAGCAGAAAACTTACCTTCTGAGGGATGCTCAAAGCCACAGTCAACGATGGCGCGGAGCAACTCTGGCTTGAGCAGAAAGTCACGGAAGCCAGAGCTGTGGATGGAGACATAGGAGCCCTTGACATCCTTCTTGGCAGGGGCCTCAGCCCCCTCTGCCCCAGCCGCTGTCTCCACCTCGTCATCTTCATAGTCCAAGAGCTCATTGTCCACATCATTCTCTGCCATAACTGGGCCGGCAGAGGGAGAAGGGGAGGGATCTTGGAAGAGCTCTCCCAGAACAGATGGAAACAAGGAGGAAGAGGAAGGGCTCGAGGAAAGCAAAGGAAAAGGAAAACACTTCTGACAGAAGAGCTAGGAAAACAAAACAAAACAACAGAACAGAACAGAACATGTCAGTCATGAGCAGATTTTCATCACTTTTCCATTCCCACACTCTTCCTACTTTCCCTAAACTACAAGCCCTTGATACCTGAAAGAAAAGTTACAAAGAGATACAAAACGTACAAATAAAAAGCAAACGGAATAGAAAAACGTAGAAAGCGGCTTCAGAGGACATGGTTTCCCAGCAAGATTTTGGCTCACAGTAGCAGAAACCAGAAACCAGTGAAGACACTGTAAAAACACTTAATTTGTACACAGCAACAGTGAAAAAAAGAACATCACGAAAGTGTGAACAAGATCAAGGACTTAGGAGAGGTGAAAATGGAAATGCCACGTTCTTTAACAGCCTCAAAGGAAGCTCCTGTGCTTTCCCTGGCACTTCAGTGCTGGTCCCTAACAGAGCAGCCATCAGTCAAGGGTGATAGATTAAGGTCAGCACTGCGCAAAGCGCTCACTCCTCAAAATGAAAGCATCATGTGGCTGCCACTCACCTCCCACAGCTCTCCACCTCCCTCCTCAGTACCCGCCTTCCGTAGCTTAAGAAATCCTGTGCAATCCATAGTAGGGAGCCGCAGTAAGAAATGGCTCAGTGGCAAAACAAAAAACAAAGGGGGTCTGGGAGGACGGCTCGGTGCAAGGCTCGCCGGGTACGCGCGGGGGCCTAGATTCAGCGCTCAGCACGGCAAAAACTAGTAACAAAGTATACTATAAAAACTGAGTCAGAGTGAAGAGAAAGTGTAACAAGCAGGCACAGTTACACTAAGTATCCCCGTTCCAGCTCTTCACAAAAGTGGCCTCACATTACTCTTGGGCTCCCACTGTGATAACAATTATCTTCTCGAGCAACAATGACACCTCTCGGAAACATCTAGAAACAGTTTCAGCAAGAGCGGGTAAATCGGGGTGAGCGAGGTCCGGCTGGCCCCACAGGCAGCTCCTCTTCCTCACCCCAGCTGCGCCCTGGAGCGGACCCCGGGGACGGCGAGGAGCCCCGCCCTCCACAAATACCCAGGACCCGAGGACATCTAGCGCCGCCTCTCGTCGCCGCTGGGGCCTCGGGTAAACGAGTGACCCACTCAAAGAGCCGGGAGCAAAGGGAACACAATGGCGCTGATGCCACCATCTTGGTCTTGTCCCCCTTTCTTCCTCGCTTCCCCCCCAGAACTCTTTGCTCTAGAAAAGGATGAAAACAATGAAAATAACTACCTAACTAAACCCCAGCGACCAGACTATGGCCTGTGCAAGGGATATCAGGAACCCATGTGGCAGGATGACCAAGGAGAACCACAGATGGAGGCGGATGGCAGAGAAGGCCAAAGCTTACCTGAGCAGGGCAAACGCGTATGGCGGCAGCAACAGCGACGAAGGAGGGAAGCGGCCTTCACTTCCGGTTCCAGGCTTTGCTCTACCCCCGGCCTCTCGCCTTCTCGCCTGCCAGGGCGCAAGCGCAGGTTGCCCGAAAGCGGTCCTTCGGCGAGTCTGTAGTCCCCGCGCCCCGGGGTTTCCTTTGGATAATGCCTGTCAGAAAAAAATTTTAAAGCCACCTCTAACTCCTCCGCTACTTCCAGTAACAACAGACAGAAAGGTGACAAACCTTATGTGATAATGTGTTTCTTGTCCTTCTCTTTTCCACTCCGCTCACTTCTTCATTTAGGTTTCTGCCCCGCAGGTGTCCTCTCTGGGCACCCCTCCGTGGGGGCGCCAAAAAACAGGCTAGGAGAGAGAACCAGCGAGTTCCCACGGGGGCCTCGTCTCGGTAGTCAAGGTGACCTGAGGACCGCTGGGCATGCACAGAGAATCGTCTGGCTCCAGTTGAGAGATCGGAGTAGGCAGGTGCCTGGAAACTGGAGTGGGGTTCGCTTAGGAGTCCCGCCCAGCAGCATTTGCTCAAAATTAAGTTGGCCCGTAGGATGATGAGCATGGGCTATGAGGAACGTGAATCTGAGTGGGAAACAGCGTCTAGATGCTGCCTCAAGTGTTAAAACTAAGTGATAAGGCTTGAAGATTGCACAGCTTTTCAAAAATATTGTTTTGTGGGTTGTTGTTGTTGTTTTTTTGGTACCGGGGATCGAACTGGGGGCCGTGCGCTTGTGCAGCAAGAGCTGGAACCACTGAGCTAAATCCCCGGCCCTCCATAAATACTGTTAATTGGAGCCACATGTTCTTTAGCCCTGCTCCAACAGTCCTGGATTGATTGATTGATTGATTGATTGATTGATTTTCCGGTGCCAGGGATCGAACTCGGGTCCTTGTGCTTGTGAGGCGGATGGTGGAACCGCTGAGCCAAATCCTCGGCCCTGGGTTTTTTTTTTCTTGAGTGAAACATTTGACATCCCCCTCTTTTGAGATGCTACAGAAGTCGGATGTGCTGCTTAAACCTGACAGGCATTTGGCCTTTCCCTGTTAGCACACTTAATCATTTAACCATTGTTTCCATTTTTTAGACAAGCAAATAGATTTGGAGAAGTAAAATAACATGTCCAAAGCAATACAACTAGTAAAGTGAGTCAGGGGGTAAACACTTGATTCTGGGGCTGGGGATTTAGCTCAGTGGTACCGCGCCTGCCTCGCAAGGGCCAGGCCCTGAGTTCAATCCCTGGTACCGCAAAAAAACAAAACAACAAAACATTTTGATTCTGTATTGCCTCCCTGCTTAGAGAATCTGGCTAATAAATACACTATGGATTACCTTCTTGGTTCAAGTCTCTGCGAAAGCAAGCTGTCTTTGGTGGTGAAGAGAAATAACTGACCCAAGGATGCAGTCATAAAAGAACAATTTTCCCAACTCTACATATCACATAAGTTATTCCACAGTACTTATAGGCTGCCTAACCTATGCTAAGCGCTATCCTAGGATCTAGGGACAAGCAGTGGACAGCTTTGTCCCCACAGTTTATATAACAGGGAAGAGAACATAATGTCAACCTTCAAGTACTAGAAAGCAAAACAAAACAGAGCAGAGTGCTTGTTTGGCATTTTAAAAAATTTTGCCATTTGTAGTTATATCAGCTTGTATCTAGATTCCCCCCCTCCAAGCCTCATATGGTCATAGGTGAAGCTTTTTTGAGGTGGCTTGATCTGGGGTGTGTGATGCTGGAATTAATGGTAGGATGGTGGGATTAAAGATGCCCACCCTGTGTGTGAGTGCTACCTGCCCTAAAGACAGCCTGGATGGAATATAAGGGACAGAAAGAGGTCTGCTGCCAGTGCTTGCTGCTTGCTGTCTTCTGCCTGCCCTGCTTTCCCGTGAACTGTTTCTCCTCTGTGACGCCCCTCTCCTGTGCCACCCTGCCTTGGAGCCAGCCGACTATGGACTGAAACCTCTACAAACTGAACTACAATAAACCTTTCCTCCTTTAACTTTGGGTGTTGGGTATTTTGTCTCAGGAATGAGAAAAGTAACTAAGACAGTAGTCCTCAGGTTCCCAAACAAGCAACCACACGTTTCTCACTTGAGAAAAACAGTAAGGTGTTATTTGCTTTTGTTTTCTCCAATGAATTTGTTTTTGCTTTATTTGGTACCGGGGATCGAACTCAGAACCTTGAGCTTGCAAGGCAGGTGCTGGATCTCCAATGAATTTTGAAGGATAGTCCTTTGTGGTGTTTAGAGAATATATAAACAGCACGAGAAGGCCAGGGATTTAGCTCAGTGGTTTTGTCACCTGCTGCACAAGCCCAAGGACCCGAGTTCAATCCCTGGTACCAAAAAAAAAAAAAAACACCAGCACGAGAATGAGTGAAAATGAGAAATGGTGAGGCAAAAAGAGGATGCTTGGACTCACCGATTGATTTGCTCAATTATTTTATTGACAGCTCTTTATTGTTACACAGGGAAAGCAATGTGTTGAGAATACAGAAAGGAAGGCCATGCGCATGGGGGACACAGCATCACTTCAGATTCAGAGACCAGTGAACAGCTGATGGTTTTCAGGGGAGATAGAAAATAAGGAAACCCAATAAAGGCCCGCTTAAGAGAGAAAAAGAGAAGGTAAGAGGTGCAATATCTGCCTGGAACCGGAATAAAGGGACCACATGCGGTCATCATTTCATCTTTCCAGGGGTCATAAGGTCTCTGGGCAAAAGAGGTGGGAAGAACGAACTCTTCTGAGAAATACTGGGGTCACACAGTGAACAAAACTGGAGCACCTCTGAGAAAAATCAGGAAACACCAGTAATTAGGTTTTGGCAGGTGGGCAGAGGGTGGTAATGATATCTGGGCTTCCCATTGCTTGAATCCCAACTACTCCCAGGAACCACGATAAGCTCCTTACAGAACAATTCCCAACCACTGCACAGCCTCACCAGGTGGGCATTGTTCCAGTTTCACAACGGAGAACACTGAGGCTCCCAGTTGGGTAGCTTGCCCTAGTTGCTCAGCCAGCGAGTGGCAGGGTTAGGAAAGAAACCTGAATCTTCCAGACTCTGAAGTCAGGACCTTTCCACATCCCCACTTCTCCATGCTACAAGTTTACAGAAGTGTTAGGTGTGGGTAACTTGGCCCAGTAAGGGTTAAAGAACAAAGAGATCCAAGTGTGACCAGGCTATTTATAAATTTCACAGGGGCCTATTAGATCCTGCTTCCTAGCATTTCTACAGAATGGAAACGAGAGAAAGATTACGCTGGGAAATGAATTTTTCAGGACTGAGAACTGAACGCAGGGCCTTGTACGTGCCAGGCAAGGGAAGTCATATAGGTTTGGGAGACTTCTTTTTTTTTTTTTTTGGTACCGGGGATCAAACTCCGGTCCTTGCGCTTGCACAGCAGGTGGCAAAACCACTGAGCTAAATCCCCAGCCCTAGGGAGACTTCTTTAAGGGAGCAAACTTGCATGAGGAGTCAGACACTGTACTGGATCCTAGGCAGTGATCCGGTAGTTGGGGTGCAGCTGGGGCCTTACATCGCAGACCATGCCAAGAAGCTGGGCCAGGACGCGCTCCCGGTTCCTCTGCTGGGAGCTCTGCATGCCCTGTACCTGGCGCCACGTAGCCTGCTCCACTTCCGCTGACAAGTTCCCCTGGGAGCCCATGGCCTAGAGGATGGGGAAAGAGGTGAAGGAGAAAAGGGAAACGCAGAAACAGAGAAAGAAGTGTCCTGGCTTGGGGCGCAAAGCGTCCTGAGCAAGACCACGAAGAAAAGCCTTTCTAGAAACTATCTCCATCCCACAGAAATATCCAGATACCAAAGAGGTCAATAATCCCCTTTCCTCTGAGACCTGACGGGCAACCTCTTTCCCTACAACAGACTGTAAAATTCCCACTGTCTCATTCCCCATGACCATAAAATTCTGTCCTTGCCCCGCAAGCTGTGTCTCTTTCAAAATTCACAGACTTGCCAAACACATGCCTGTAATAGCAGCACTCGAGAAGCTGCAACAGGGGGATTGCGAGCTTACACCCTGCCCGGGCTATAAAAGCAAGTTCAAGGGCAGGCTGGACTACACAGGGAGACCCTGTCTCAAAACCAAAACAAGCAAAACAAAAACCCTCCCTGAGCCGGGCCTGGTGGTGTACATCTGTGGTCCTTGATGCCCAGGCAGGAGGACTGCCATGAGTTCAAGGCCAGCCTGGGCCACACAGTGAACTCAAGGATAGCCTGAACTGCAGAGCAAGACCCTTTCTCAAAACCCTCCCAGACTTTCTTACACATTGTCACAAAGATTCGCCGATGTTGCGGTCCCTGCCGGGGCCCCCTTGGGCCTCTGCCACTGTATTTTCTTGTTGAGTCACTTGTACACACCGCACAAGGTGGGGCACCCCCAGCCCGTACCCAGCTGGGTCCCTCCCAGCTTCCTGCAACTCACGGCCTGCTGCTTGCTCTGGAACTCCTGCTCCCGCTCTCGGCGGTACTGCTCCACTTCCATCTGCGCCTCCTCCTTTGCCTGCTTCAGCCTCCGGGCCTTCCCTGGAGGGAGGAGGGGTGGGGGTAGGTGACAGCAGAGCTCAGGCCCTTCCAGCAAGTTATCCAGCCTCTCTCGGCAGAGCAGGCGCTGGATTCTAGCACCCTCTATTTCTTCCCTCCTAACCAGCCTCCAGGCTGCCGCCCTCTCCCTCTTGGGTTTTACTAAGGACCAGTTGTTTGCTAACCTCAGCCCCAGTTTTCTTTCCAGGCTCCTGCAGGAGGAAAGAGGAGACTTACTCTTCCTGGCATCTGCCACCTTCTCCGCTGCCCGCTTCTCAGCTTGCAAGAGCTGCTGGATGCCCTGGGACTGGCTGGCCATTTCCGTCCTTAGGGCCGATGATGTTGTGCAGCTGACCAAGGTACCAGACGGCTCCCACCCCGCGTCTGTTTCTCCTCCTCCTCCTCCTCCTCCTCCAGCTCGAGGCTGCGGCCCTTCACCACTCCTGGGTCTTAGCGCTCCCCTCTTCTTCCCTCAGCCTCCGGCCCCGGGTGTCTCCCCCAATCGGATCCTACCACTTATTCTGGGGCTCCTCGCCCACCTCCCACCCAGGCAGTACCCGAAAGGGCCGCATGGGGGCAGCAGAGACCAGGCTCTAAGCGGCCAGCTACCGCCGCAGGCAGGGACCTTTCCGGTACCGAGCTCCGCGGATGGAGGCAGAGACACGGACCGGAGTATTTGGGTAGAAGACCTTGTTTGGTGGTCGCATAGTAGGCACAGTGGAAATGGGGTGAAAAGGTAAGAATGTCATCATGCGATGCATGCTAAAAAGAGAGAAGAGGATGCTGGGCTGGTGCGCCCTCTCTCCAGCATCTCACTGTGTAGCCCAGTTTGGCCCCAAACACAGGATCTCCTTGCCTCAGCCTTCCCATGCTGAAATTATAGAAGTCTCACTACCCACTGTCCCGCATGTCTCTCGTTGCTTAATGAATAACCTTATTGGTTCTTATCTGAAAAGTCTTCATAGAAAACTGCTGTTTTAAGTCTCAGCAGAGCTCTGAGGAAGATTGCCTTCTCTTGAACTGCTCAATCTTTCTTCTGGGCAAGGGACATTTTGGTTTGTTCTTTTTTTTTTTTTTTGGTACCGGGGATCAAACTCGGGAACTTGCGCTTGCACGGCAGGCGCCTGAACCACTGAGCTAAATCCCCGGCCCCCATCTGTTTAACTTCTTTCTTCAGCTTCTCTTCATAGACTGGATTCTGTCGCACAGCAGAATGAGCTTTCTTATATATCTCCTCTGCAGTTACACTGGGCTTTTTTGTTTTGATTTTTATTTTTTGTACCAGGGATCGAACTCGGGACTTTGTGCTTTCGAGGCAGGCGGCAGAACCACTGAGCTAAATCCCTGGCCCCCTACACTGTTCTTTCTGTACTGAGAGTTGTTCCCTTAAGTGTCTTCATCTTTTTCCATTAAGTAACACGTATAATCTGTGATGTTTTGACTCATGATGTGCTTCTAATTACTTCCGCACCAATCTCCTTGCTTTCAGAATCATAATCAGGAGGGCCGGGGATTTAGCTCAGTGGTTCCAGTGCCTGCCTCGAAAGCGCAAAGTCCCAAGTTCGAACCCTGGCACCAAAAAATAATAATAATCATAATCAGGGAACCATCTGGTACTGGGAGGGAGTGACAAACCTCCATCTACAGCACCCTTCAGGGCTCCAAAAACTTTACTGCCAGTGGTGCGTCTGGCAAGGCCAGCATCCAAATAGCAGACAAAGGTGCCAGGTTGACCATCAGTGCTTCCCACGTTATTCCACCTCCAATCACCTCCACCTGGGCTTCATGATCTTGTCCATGCCAAACCCTTGAGAAGCTTGTGGGCCAGCAGCAGGCCAGTACAATGGCTGCAGCATAATTTGTTAGGCCGACTTTCACACTGTATTTTGGTAGTTCATGTACATATCCCCTTCTATACAGAAATAAGAAATCGACAAATATGCCTCTGTTGGGTACAGGGAACTAGTCCTGTATTTGGATACGTTGGACATATTTTTATTCAAGCACAGTAATCAGTTTTGCTCTCTCCTAAACTTCACTTGTTATCTCTCAAAGTAGCCCCGTATTCTTGACAGCTTTAACAAACCCCTGCCTCAGCCCACAGCGGACTGTAAGCCCTGTGAGGGCCTGGCTACTGACAGGAGCACCTCTGAACTTCCAGCACTCAGAAGGTGTAGGAATTTACACTAGGCTTCTCTTTTTTTGTTTTTTCATTTGTTTTTGAGACTTGGTCTCGCTATGCAGTTCAGGTTGGCCTCAAACTCATTATGTAGCCCAGGCTGGCCTCAAACTCGTGGCAATCCTCCTGCCTCAGCCTCCTGATTGCTGGGATCACAGGCGTGTGCCACCACACCCTGCTACAGTAGGCTTCTCTTAATTCTTCCCTCTGTTTTACCTCTCTTCCATCTACTTCTTATTCTACATGTTTCCCAAGTTCAGAGCTCTTCATACATCTTGCGTGCCCTGCCCTGCGTTTCTTTTACTACACTTCCCTCTCTGTGCTCTTCCTTTTTTTCATCTCTCCTTATTCTTGGCCTTGCTGAAGTTTTGATTTTCCATTTTCATTCTGATTTTTATCCTGTCTTTAACCTCCCTGATTTCTCTTTCTCTTCACCCGCATGTCACTGAACCATTTCCCGTCTCTCCTCTTAGTTAGGAAAGACCTGGACAAACCACAAAATAAAAAACAAAAAACCCTCCTTTCTCCCCTCCCTTTTGCTCCCCTGCCTCTCCTCCCGTCTTCCTATTTCAGGCGGACCCTATATTTCAAATTCCTTGGTTTCTTCCCGGAGGCCTAATCAAGAAACCAACCGGTCGGGGCGGAACAACATCCTGTCATGCGCCTACAGTTCATTTCCGCCCTAAATTTGCGTCTCTGTTTGCGCATTTCCGCCAGCCTGGAGTGTCTCCGCCCTCCCCACCTCCCTCGTCCGAGCGTCTAAACTCAGGCTTGGGGCCTAGGGCTGTGGGGGTACTGGGGGGGCGGGGGTGCAGGTCTGATGAGTAACCCCTCCCCCCAGGTCCCAGAGGGAGAAGCCTCTACATCTGTCTCCCGGGTACATTATATTCAATTTCTAGATCGTTATTTGAAATTGTGACTTTTTAAAATTCAGATTTCTGCTGCTGAAAATCTTCTCCATCAGGTCCTATTACTTTTTTTCCCAAAAGTCCATTATTAAAAATTTACCTGGGCTCTTGAGCCTTAAAGCAACTATGTAAATCCTTTTCTCAAAATTTACACTTAACAAATCTGTGACTCCAGAGCCATTCAAAAATGTTTTCAACCCTATCGTCTGGTAAAGGAGGCGCGTTGGGATGGGCCTCATCTTTCGCTGGAGAAAGGCTACTGTGAGGACGAGGAGAGAATGCCTGAGGTGAAGGGGAGGGACCAGCCAAGCCTGAATGCTGTCTCCTTTTTCCTTCCCTAGCCCAAGAGTTCCATGGCCTCTGCTTCCCGCCGCCAGCGCAGAGAGCGTCGCTTCCGCCGTTACTTGTCTTCTGGACGCCTGGTCCGGGCCCAGGCCCTCCTCCAGCGACACCCTGGCCTTGATGTGGATGCTGGGCAGCCGCCACCACTGCACCGTGCCTGTGCCCGCCACGATGCCCCTGCCTTGTGCCTGCTGCTTCGTCTCGGGGCTGACCCTGCCCACCAGGACCGCCATGGGGACACTGCTCTGCACGCCGCTGCACGCCAGGGCCCTGACGGTGAGTTTGCCAGCGAGGAACAAGGTCATGAGCAGCCAGCTGATTAGATCTGAAATGAAAATGGTTGAGAAATAGGCTAGTTATTTGGTCTGTGGGATCTAGGGAGTTAGTTGACCAGTTGGCATGTGGCTGTCATTTGTGCCTTTGATACAGGAGAAATATAACTTTCTTTTTTTGTTTGTTTGTTTGGTACTGGGGATCGAACTCAGGACCTTGTGCTTGTGAGACAGGGAGACAAGCATGGTGCCACTGGGCTGAATCCCCAGCCCAGAAATGTAACTGTCCACCTGTTAGATGTCAAATGTGCCAAGTTCGTGGTCCCATGATGTAAAGGAACGAAGTCGTGAGCCAAAGGAAGAAATTAGGAGAGTTTTATTGGAAATAAGGGGAGAAGAATAGCTCCTGGATTTTCAGGAGGGGCTCCCAAATGAGACCATCAGAGGTAATTTATACAGAGGTGATTTATCAGAGGTAATTTATACAGCAAAGTCACAGTGTGGGTACAACGTGGATCAAACTGCTGTCAACCAATGATTACAAGTGTAGCTGCTGAGCTAATCCAATCCAGGGAAACAAGTCACAGAGCAAGGATACATGGAAAGAACAAAAGCATTTTGGGAAGGGCCAGGTCTGGATGCTCTGTCACCCACCTGGGCAGCTGATGCCTATCTGGACTTCTGCAGCCCGTGGTGCTGATTACAGCATACTCTCAAGTTGCCTTTTGTTTATCCCTTAGGGAGGCGTGGGGCCTGGCCATTGCATCTCTATCTTGAGGCCTGGCTTTCTTCAGATACGCCTCCAGCCACAATTCTGATGTCTTTATTTTTGTGCTCACTCTCATGAGAGCCCAGACCCTCTCTGACAGTATATTAGTTTCTATCTAACTTAGCTGCCTGTGATACTTTGACATTACTGAAATAGCATTGTCTGAAGAGCCCAAATGTTCCCCAAACAGCAACTAGTCTTTAAATTTCATCTCTCTCTACATTAGTAGCTACTTTATTTCTTGATTGGTTGTTTGCCTATAGCACAACACATATCATCGAAGGTGGGCTCTGCAGTAGGATTCCCTGAGTTCAAATCCCAGCTCCACACCTAATAGCTGTGTATTAAGTTGTTGAACTTTCCTGAGGCTTAGTTAGCCCATGTGTAAGACTAAAGTAATAACAACATTTGCTGTGTGCCAGGCACTTTTCACCAGGTAACCCATCTAATCCTTCCAACAACTCTGTGAGGAGAGTCACTGACATTTACCCCATTTCCCAGTGAGGAACTGGGCACAGAGAAGTTGAGTCATTTGCTAGAGTTACACGGCTGTGTGAGGATAGAACAGAGATTGTATCCCCGGCAGCGTAGCTAGCTAGCTTAGCTGTGCTCTTGGTTTAGATTGTGACTCCATTGTCTTATGTTGCACATCATAGAATTGCACGTGTTCAAAGTGCCCATGCTTTGACAGGTATGTTTGGAGATCACCTGACACAGTACATGATTAGAACACTTGGACGCGTTGAGCACTCAGTGGATCCTGTTGATTGTCATTCCTGTCATGATCAACAGGACCAAACTCCCTTATGCACAGTTCTGAAACTTAAAACAAGTCAGAATCAGTTTTCATCAGTCTGCCACCAAAACTCACTTGGTGACAAAAACCTAACCTAAACTAACATGAGACTATCCATGACTTGTTTTTATCTTACTGAGGTCAATATTCAGACATTTCACACCAGAAACATTTGTGAGTTTGCTTACTAGGGCTGCCCAGGCCCTCCTGGGGGCCTAATCTTTACAGTAGGTACTTATAGATCAACTCAATCAAACCCCACAAACTCTTGAGTTCTGAAAAACCTTTGGCCTTGAGGGACACAGACATGGAACCTGTTGATATTGCAGGGAAGCGGCTCTGCAGAGGTATAGCCCTTCTTATCAAACTCAACGGTGAAACCCCTTTCCTATGTAGAGATTTCCTTGTGGAGGAAGAACATGAGAACAAAACCTTTAGGTTGGGGTGAACAACACTAACTCAGTCTGATCTGCCGTCTGCCCATCCCCATCCCCCCAGTATATGCAGGCACCCCGCCTTCCCAAAACCTCCTGATATAGTCAGAAATCTCCTTTTAATTCTGTCCAGCATATGTGAGCTGGGCTGGTGTATTTGGATTTTTTTTTTTTTACTTAAAAACAAAGAAGTTTACTGAGTGCAGGTATCTGACTGGCTGGCCGATGTAAGATGGGACAGAGCAGAGCACCCCGAGAAAGACCGGGCGCCCAGCAGGTTCAGGAACTTGTCCTCTGGCACTGAGAGGTCCTTAGATCTCAGAGGGGACCTTCCCTGGGGCCTCTTCACTCCCGGCCCTGCTGTCTGCTCAGGCCTTCTTCACCTTGGCCCCTGCTAGGCCACCACCAGGGGGCCCCTAACTCCCGGGTTGAGAAGCCTCCTGGGCCTCCCTCCACAGCCTTCCTGAATGAAATGACCCAGAATATCTGCCAAGAGGTTTCCCCCTGCGCCCAGGTTAGGTCTGAAGGATGCACCAGTCGTGCCAGAGAGGACGGGCTGGGTTTTCACACCCAGTAAGACTAGTGGAGGGACCCCACCTTTTGGACTTTTGGGGACTTCTCTTTAGAAGCCATCACCTCCTGATGAGTGTTCTTAGCTCTCAGAGACCCCTGAGTAAACACACCTTGGTCAGACAATAACTGTTCTCTACATAGACCCAGAATCAGCATTGAGAAATGAGGTCATTTTTTCATACTCTTGGTAAAAAGAATAAAACCCAGAGCCAGCCTGTTCTGTTTTGTTCCTCTTTTTTTCTGGCATAACTTTCCCTGCTCTTCTTTTCTGTGCCAACACAGCACTAGGCGTTTCCCACCCATTACTCGGTAGAAGTAGGCAGTGCCCTGTTTTTCACAGTGACAAAGCATCCGGTTCCGGTGCCACTGTTCCACTGCCTACCCCGCGTCCTGCCGTGCTCACAGACCTGTGACTCCAGCTCCGAGGCGCTGTCTTGCATGACCCTAAGCACAGCGTTCACAAACCTGCCCCTTCCTTGTCTGATTTTCGATTTGCTCGGTGTTATGTCCCCTTCCGGCCAACACAGACCCCCTCACCTTCAAAGCCCTGTCTGGCCACCCCTCCACTCTCGCCTTTTCCTCTGCTGAGCCTCCATCAGTCTTCATTCAATATAAGCTTCTGCTACTGGCCTTTTAAAAGAAACAGTCTCATTATGTTGCCCAGCCTGGCCTTGAACTCCTAGGCTGAAGAAACCCTCTTACACCAGCTTTCTAAGTAGCTGGGATTGCAGGCAGTGCCACCATGCCAGGCTATGACACTGGCCTTTTTGTGTGTTTGTATTTTGGTTTATTTATTTCTTTATTTTTGTACCGGGGATCAAACTCGGGTCCTTACACTTGCAGGGCAGGCAGCAGAACCACTGAGCTAAATCCCCCGCCCTGTATTTTGGTTTTTTCAGTCGGGGTCTTGCTGTGTAATCCAGGTTGGCCTTTAGCTCACAGTGATCCTCCTGCCTCAGCTTCCCGAGTACTGGAATTACAGGCCTGCACCGCCACACCCAGCTCCGACACTGACATTTTTTTAAGTGTGTTTGGAGTTGAGGGTGTAGCTCAGTGAGTGGCGGAGCAGTAGCCTAGCATGCTGGAGCTGTAGGTTAATCCCCGGCACTAGGTGGGGGGGGGGGGTGTCCCTTTTACCAGTTATTCTGTCTGTCCCTCTAAAGTAGAGCTCAGATTTTAGAATAGATTACGGAAGTGAAGTACTTCTATCACTAAGACAAAGTAAACTTTTCTTCCACAAAATTAATTTTTATTTTTCCTGGTATGAATTATCACATATTAATGACCATTAGGAAAAGTTGATCTTTACTGGTAAATTGATGATAATGGTAGCATTTCAAATACTAGAGAGGGGGGCCAGGGATCTAGCTCAGTGGTTCTGCCACCTGCCTTGCAAGCGCAAGGTCCCGAGTTCAATCCCCGGTACCACAAAAACAACAACAAAAAAGCAACATCAAACACTAGAGAGGGATGAAAAATTTAATAAATGATGGAACACTTTGCTCATCCCGAGAAAATAAGAGGCCTACCTCACACCTGATGCAGAAGTAAGTTCCAGAGCAGGGTGTGGCAGCAGATGCCTTGTACTTCCAGCCACGCAGGAGGCTGAGGCAAGAGGATTGCTTGAGTCTAGGTCTGTGATGGTTTTATTTCTGTTTTCAAAGTGATGTGAGCTGGGTGTGATAGTGGCGCATGCCTGTAATCCCAGCATTCAGAGGCTGAGGGAAGGGATTGAAGGTTTGAGCCCAGTTTGGGCAATTGAGCAAGACCCTGTCACAGAATAAAAAACAAAAGGACAGGACGGAGCTCGATGCAAAGGCCCTGGGCTCAGTCCCCAGTACAGAGAGAGAGAGAGGGAGAACTTTATTTATTTACTTATTTATTTTCGTGTAGGTATTGAATCCAAGGCCTTTGCATTAAGCTACATCTCAACCTTCCCCCCTTTTTTAAACTTTTTATTTTGAGCCAGGATCTCACTAAGTCTCAAAGTGCCACCATGGTTGATTTGGTTGTTTTTTTGGTTTTGGTTCTGGTTTGATTACTTTTTGGTTTTTGGTTTTTGTTTTTTTGGTATATGTTCTTTGACTCAGAAATTCCACCTCTGAAAATCTACCCTAGACAAATACTGTAACAAGTCCACAAAGATGTGTGTATGAAACTGAAGGCGTTTGGAAACAAAATTTGTCAGTCAGGAGTGGGGAGAGCTGTTTGTTTTGCCCACACGGTGGAACACTACACAGTCAGCGTGAAGAATGAAGTAGGCTGTGTATTCTCATGGAAAAATATAAATGCGAAAAGTGAGTTGCTAGACAATACGTGCAGTAGCAGTATGACCACGTATCTGAGTAAATTTGTCATATGTGTGCATTTACGTATACCAAGACATGACTGGAATGGGCCACAGAAAGCTGCTAATATTAGAAATTATTCTTTCCTTAAAAAGGAAAGAAAATTTCAACTTAGTCATATCACTATCATGTTAAAGTATCAATTAAATAAAATTGAGATGAAAAAGCCACCTAGAGTCCCACCACCTAAAGACTAGAGTTTTTCCAGTTTATTTTTGTTCAACCACTGGATTTGGTCTTTTCCTTTTTCTTTTTCTTTTTTGATTTTTGTTCTTGAAACGGGGTTTTGCTGTGTCGTTCAGACAGGTCCTGAACTCCTGGGCTCAAGTGATCCTCTTGCCTCAGATTCCTGAATAGCTGGTACCATAGGGCCACACCTGACTTGATCTCTTCTACTTAAACTGCTATGATCAGATCTTATATACAGTTTTGCAGTCAGATTTTTCACACACAGACATCAATTTTAGTGGCCATTTAATGTTCTGTACCATATTTCACTTACCATGTTTTTCTAGGTGGAAGCCTTATTCCTTTGACCCATCTATGCCTTTGGGACCTCCCATGCAAGGCTGAACACCCGCACACACCTGCATAGCCCTACTGGCCACAAGCCGTTGAGGATAAAGCGGGCGCTCGCTGGGTGGGCCAAGTTGGAGGGCTTGTGACAGACAGGCCCCAGCTGCAGTGCTGAGGCTTGGTGCCCTGTCACCTCACCATGATCTTGGGGGTGGAGTGGGGCCCTGATTGCCTGGGCTGGGCCCATTCTGTCTTCCTGCCTTCCTGGCAGTGACAGGTCAGCACCTCCCCGGTGCCATCCCACTGCCAGGTAAGCAGGACTTTCCAACACCACCAACCAAAGGTTTCATGACTTCGGCCTGTTTCCTCTCCCTCGGGAGAGAAAGTAGATCCCCAGGAAGAGAGGCTGCCTCACTCACCTCCCTCCGTCCCCCAGGTGAAAGAGGTAGTGGGCGGCCTCAGCTCGCCCTGGACCATTCAGAGGAGGTCAGAGTTCAGGCAGAAGGGTACCCAGAAGGTCAGTTCCTCTCCTGTTTTCTCCCAGCTCCTGAGGGAGGCCTCTAGCTTGCCCTCCAGCCTTGCCTCAGTGAGCAGTCATCTGAAGAGAGCTTGCTCTGCTGCTGGCCACAGACTCATTGCTGACCTTCTGTACCCCTCCCCACCTCCATCATCCTATATAAGCCTGGCTGGCAGAAATTCCCCTGGAAATGTTTCTCTTACCCAGCGGATTAAAAAGTGATAGAAAATATCCTTATATATGTATATGAATACAGAGTATTCAGATCTTTTTCTAGTCTGATGTATAGTCTTGGATGAAAAACTCAAAAAGGGGTGTTAGTGACAATATTTTTAACCCAGAAGTGGAAAACAGGATTTTTTTTTTTTTGGTACCGGGGATTGAACTTGGGTCCTTGCGCTTGCGCAGCAGGCGGCAAAACCACTGAGCTAAATCCCTGGCCCTAAAACAGGATTTTGACATCATCCTAGGTGGCTGGAGACAGGGCCAGAAAATGTCATTTTGCACTGCAGAACTGAGGGAATACTAAAATGGTCGGTGAGGACATGAGTCAGGTTTTAAACTACTCCACTCCTCATGCATAGAAACCATCAGTAAACACTTGTCGGGTGATCATTTTGTGTACCATGTGAAGCCCCCTTCTGTGGTGCTGCAGACTGAGCCCAGGGCCTCCCACTGAGTTACCTGCCCAGCCCTTTTTGTTTCCTACTTTGAGACAAGGTCTCACGGAGTTGCCCGGGCAGGCCTCGAACTCACGGCCCTCCTCGGCCTCCCGGGTGGCTGGGCGCCCTTCCTCAGGGAAGACCAGGGAACTCAGGATGGCGGCCCTGGCGCCAGGACGTGGAGGCCCAGCTCACCTCGGCCCCTGCTCTCCCTCCCACAGCGTACACAGACTTCTTCCTGCCGCTGCTGAGTCGCTGTCCCTCCGCCATGGGAATAAAGAACAAAGATGGGGAGACCCCGGGGCAGATTCTGGGCTGGGGACCCCCCTGGGACTCTGCTGAAGAGGAGGACGACGATGAGGCTTCCAGGGAGCGGGAGTGGAGGCAGAAGCTACAGGGCGAACTGGAGGACGAGTGGCAGGAGGTCATCGGGCGGCTTGAAGGTGAGGACCCCGTGGCCGGCGCGGCCGCGCCCCTGCTCCTCTGCCCGGCGCGGCGCCCCACGCTGGGCTCCTCTGCGGCCCGCCTCACGCCCCGTCTTCCCACCGCCCCAGCAGACGACGCCGCGCGCCAGGCCCAGGAGCCCGAGTCCTTCTCGGCCTGGTCGGACCGCCTGGCGCGGGAGCACGCCCTGAAGCAGCAGCGGGCGGCGGGAGCCTGCAGGCCGGCGCGCACTGAGGCCGCCACGCGCAGCCGGCGACGGCGAGAGGAGGAGCAGCGGCTGTTCCGAGAGCGGGCGAGGGCCAAGGAGCGGGAGCTGCGCGACAGCCGGGCCGGGAGGGCCCAGGGGGCGCGCGGGGACCGCGGGGCGGAGCCGGCCGGGGCGGCGCGGGGCGGCCTGTGGCGCTTCGGGGACGTGCCCTGGCCCTGCCCGGGCGGAGGGGACCCCGAGGCCATGGCGGCGGCGCTGGTGGCCAGGGGGCCCCCGGCGGAGGAGCAGGGGGCCCTGAGGCGGTACCTGAGGGTCCAGCAGGTCCGCTGGCACCCTGACCGCTTCCTGCAGCGGTTCCGGAGCCAGATTGAGACCCGGGAGCTGGGCCGCGTGATGGGGACTGTGACCGCGCTTTCCCAGGCCCTGAACCGCCACGCCGAGGCCCTCAAGTGAGGGGCGGGCGGGGTGGCCTGTGCGCCTCACCCCGCGCCTCCTAATAAGACCGGCTTCCAGGCCCGCTCCGTCTCCGTCTCCGTCTCCGCTGCCTTTTTCCATTGCTATGCTTTTCATCACCCAAGACGGCTACTTCCCGGCCGCCGAAACGCGCAGCGCCACTGGCGGGCCGGGCCTGGGCCCGGAGCCCTGGGCACCCTCACCAGGGTGGGCGCGGGTCCTGCCCACCCCGCAGGCCGCGCCCCAGAGGTGCGAACAGGGGCGAAAGGGGAACAGCCGTTTCCCTGCCACCCCACTCCCCGGCGGACCACATCCTCCTCCCCGCTTCGCACCCCCAGCACAGGGCTTTCCCTTTGCTGAGTCACCGAGTGAGCCAAGTCGGGGGGCAGCTAGGGTGGGGGAGGACAGGGGACAGAGGGGGGCGCCCTGTGGGCGAGGGGAGCTTCAGGCGCTAAGAGTAGGAGCGGGGAAGGAGGCGGAAAGGGCCCGGTTATGTAACCCGGGCTCTCTGCTCTTGGGCAAGCCCAGGGTGGGAGGCCCACACCCGCGGGCTGCCGGATCCGGGGCGCTGCTCCCTCCGCCCACCTCTGCCTTGAGCTGCTCGACGCCTCCGCCTCCGTGCACCTGCCCCATCCCCAGCCTGGGCTTCATCCTTTGCACGCGGACGTCCCCTCTCCAGGCCTGGCGGGTGAGGCCTGGAGAAAGAGGGCCTGGAATCTGGTGGGAAAGAAGGGGGACCCGTCTGCCTCGCTCCCTGCTCAAACTCAGCGAGCAGCTCCGAACTGTAGACCGAGCCCTGCTGCCATCGCGCTGGGCACAACCGGCTCAGAGAGAGAAAGGGCAGGACTGAGTCCACAGGGGAGACCTTCCGGAGCGGAACTGCCGGGTCCTGAGCCCGGGTCTCCACGCATTCCCCGCGGTGCGAGTGGAAGCTGATGGGGGACGGGAAAGGGAAGCCACCGGGGCATGGGTGGGCCCGGGCCCTCGAGCGGACGGCTGTAGTCAGGAAGAGGCCCGAGGCCTCAAGGACCCGGCTGATGTCGGCTGAGGGGGTTGGTCTGGTGAGAAAGACCTGAGAGGAAGCTGCTGTGATTCAGAGGAGAGACCAGCTGAGCAGCCCAGGCGTCCGGTTCCTGTCACAGGCCAGAGATTTAGGAAGCGGCATGCAAAGAGCCTGGGCTTGGAGTTGGGGGGGTTCGGGTGCACGTCCCTGAGCTGGGTGGGGGTTGGGAGGAGAGCAGCAGAAAACTGGAGTCCACAGTTGCTTCTCCACCCAGGAGACCGGCCATAGGTTGTAGCTGCAGCATTTCCCTTTCTGCAAGGGTTACATAAGACCACTGCAAGATAAGTCCACATACCTGGGCCCCGGGCCTCCCTCCTCTCAACCCCTCCCTGATGTCTGGCCCCCAGCCCTCATGGGGGTTCCCCTGAGATAAAGGCTGTTCACTTTCTCTGACCACACAGTTTCCGCTCGTATGTCTCTCATTTCCTAGGCTGATAAAAATACTGAGCCCTAGAGGCCTTGGCTTCCTCTGACTCCCGGCACCGGGCAGCAGGCATCCTGTCCACCGCAGTGGGGCCGGGCCCAGGGATCCCCAAGGGCTGACTCAGTGCCTGCCGTGCAACTCTGGGGAGGGAGAAGTGTGCAGTCTCCGTCCCCTCAAGCTGAGCCAGGAGCTGGGGCTCAGTGCAGGATGCATCAGGGTCCAGTTTGAGAAGGGTTGGGGAGAGACTGGTGGGATGGAAGAGGGTGGGGTGGGTCTGGGGATTGGTGAGCACAGGTTTGGTTCTTTTTGTTTGTTTGTTTTTTGATACTAGGGATCGAACTCGGGACCTTGTGCTTGCGAGGCAGGCAGTGGGTGGTAAGGACAGGTTTGGGTTAAATTAGAAAAAGAATCCAAGAGGGAGTCTGTTCAGTGCAGGTCAGCGAAGCATCCCATAGCCCAAAGACACACTGGAGCCCTGGTTCACGTTTGTGACCCACCAGGGGACAGACCGTAGCTCGAGGGCTGGTTGAAGACATGCTGACCACAGGGCGCGCTGGACACGGGAGGCAGCTCCCGGGAGGGACAGTCGTGAGCAGGCTTGGCAAACAGGCAGCATCTGGAGGGGCGAGGTGGAGGAAAGGCTTGGAGGGTAGACCTTGAGCAGAGCTGGGAAGTCAGAAGATGGGGCGTGTGCAGGCCGAGCTAGCCCTGGGGTGAGGGGAGCAGGTGAGAGAGCACTCGGTGAAGAAAGGGCCACAGAATGCCGAGGTTGGGGTTTATCCTGTGGCAGCCCAGGGCCACCTGGAGAGAGAGTCAGAGAGAAGAAGGCACAGCCAGGTGCAGTTGCCTGCCTCGTGTTACAGCCCTTTGCCTGCCCTCGGCAGCCCTGCCACCGGGGGCTCAGGACAGGGTGCCCCAAAGTGCTGTGCCTCGGCGCGCCGGGGGCTTTGCCATTAGGAGACAGAGGCCCAAGAAGAGCCTCCCTCTGAGCTCCTCTTGTCCACCTGGCTTCCTCGACCTTACTCCTCCAAAGCAAGGCACAGAAACCAGAACTCCTCTTCCTCAAAGCCATGAAAACTAAAACTCCTCTTTCACCAAGCCCACCACAAAACCTAGAAGTGCTCTGACCTCCCTCCCTACCTTTTCCCGTAAGAGCTGGCCGGGATGTAATTCTTTGCTAGCAAGTAGGTCACAGAACTCATTCCAGAGAGTTCTGCCCCATACCCCAGGAAGGAATGCCACACTGAGAGGAAGCTGCCCAGGCCTTGGCGGGTCTTCCCGCTCAGTCTGTCCACTAGCTAATCATACCCTGTTCATCTAATCACACGTGGACATGCCTCTCCATTCTTCATCAAATCTAAGCATAAAAATGGACAGTTTTGCTGGGTGTGGTGGTGCACACCTGGAATCCCAGCTACTCTGGAGGCTAAGGCAGGAAGATCACAAGTTCAAGGCCAGCCTGGGCCTGGGCAACTTAGCAAGACACTGTCTCAAAATTTTAAAAATAAAAATAAAAATGGGCTTGGAAGGTCGGGTGTGGGGGCACAGGCCTGTGATCCCAGCACTCAGGAGGCTGAGGCAGGAGGATCACTTCGAGTTCAAGGCCAGCCTGGGCTGCACAGTGAGCTCAAGGCTGGTCAGAGCTACATAGTGAGACCCTGTCTCAAAACAACAGAAAAAGGAGACCAGGATTTAGCTCAATGGTTCCACCGCCTACCTCAAAAGCACAAGGGCCCAAATTCGATCCCTGGTACCAAAAAAAAAAGGGAAAGAGGCTTGGAATGTAGTTAAATGCCCAAAGACCAGGCTACAGTACTTAAAAAAAAAAAGTTTTCCCTGGTCTTTGGGTCTTCATTTCTGAACACTCCTCTGCCACATAAAACTTTGACTAAATAAGTTAGTTATGGTTTTCTCTTCTGAATTTGTCTTTTGCTACAGGAGTGTGGGCCATGACCTTCATGAGGGACAAGGAAAGGGATTACGCCTTTCTGCCCCTACACTGTCAACATCTGTTCAGATGAGAAAACAAGACACGCGGTAACCTGCTTAAGGCCACAGCAATTACCATAAACTCGTCTGACTCGGACTCGTGTACTTTCTACTCAAGTCCCAGTATGGGGCCCGGGATTTAGCTCAGTGGTTCCACCTCCTGCCTTGCAAGTGCAGGGTCCTGAGTTTGATCCCTGGTACCAAAAAAAAAAACCCAAACAAACCAAATTATCAAGACCCAGTAACCCCAATGTTGTTAAAGAAGGGAACAGATTTTATCAACTTTGAGGCAATGCAAAGCCATGACCTGTGACTGGCGATGTAATAGAGAAAGAGAAGTCTTAGATAACTCCAAGATCTGGAACTAGAGGATTGGAAAGGTAGTGCTGCCCTGAACCAGGGGGGCAAGGCATAGATGGTGAGAAGGATGTGAATTCAACCAGTAAATGGGTACTAAGCCCCTATTAGCGCAGAGCACTGCTAGACAATGGGTATAGATGGAGAAGCCTCTGTCATAGAACTTGCAGCCTAGTGACACAAACATCATACAAGTAGCAAAAACAAATGTCAGTTAACAGCTACAGATACGATGGAGCTGCACCTCCTAGAGTGAGCAAGAGCTCAGGGCAGGCCTGCTGGGTTGGAGGGAGCGGGCCACGCGGGAATTTCTGTCAAGCACAGCTGGAGCCCCAGTCTGGGCAAACTCCCTCCTCAGGAGAGACCGAGACTTCATGAGGACGGAACCGTCAGGAGAGACGATGGAGACCAGCACTCGGGGAGCAAGGGGGAGAAACTAGTACAGGAGGGGTGGGGAGCAGACCTGCAAGTAGAGCAGGGCCGAGGGCTGCAAGCGAAGACTGGGTGGCTGTGTCTGGGGCCACCAAGAGGTCTGAGGAGCCAGGCACAGCTGTGCACGCTTCCCAGCCCAGCCATTGGGAGGCTGAGACAGGAGGATTGTAAGTTTGAAGCCAACCAGGGCAACTTAGTGAGATCCTGTCAAAAAGTAGGGAGGGACTAGCGATATAACTTAGCACTCCTGAGGTTCAATTTCCCAGTACTGAAAAAGATAAGAGGTCTGATAGGTGAAGGTTGAAAGGACCTTCCGGTTTAGGAACTAGACGATTACAAAATTTGAGAGACAGTTTCCGTTTAACAGAGGGACAGAAATCACTGTGCACAGGTTGAGGAATGGGGGGGGGGTCAAGGAGGAGGCAGCGTAGTGAGCACAGAAGGCAACTAAGAATCAGCCCTGAGTTCTGCCCCCGAAGCGGGCAGATGAGGAGAATTCTACCAGTTCCTGAAAAGGGTCGGCCAAGGGGTCGCACGTCTTGAGTCATCACGGGGAGGTGAGCAATGAGTAGACTTCCAGGGGAGACAGGTGCAGGCAGGGTTTGGGGGTCCATTTTCGAGAAATGAATGGAATATATTTGTAAAATGAAAGGACAGTAAGTGAGAAAAAGATACTGAAAAAATATATATATATATATATACATACACCCCTTTTTTGGGAGACAGGGTCTCACTATGTGTTCAGGCTGGCCTTGAACTTGTGGCGACCCTCCTGGCTCAGCCTCCTGAGTGTGCCACTATGCCAGGCTTTAAAAATATTTTGTACTGGAGGAGATTATACTAAAGAAAAAGGAAATGGGATAAAGAGTAAAGATTAAAGGATCAGTAAAGACTACCAAGTGGAGGATTGAGCAGAAAGGAAGGACCCGGGTGCGGTGGCGCACACCTGTGATCGCAGCCCTCGGGAGGCTGAGGCAGGAGGATCTCAAGTTCAAGGCCAGCCTGGCCAATTAGGGAGACCCTGTCTCCATAAAAGGACTGGGAATGTAGCTCAGTGCAAAGGCCCTGGGTTAATCCCCAGGACCCAAACAAAACCAGACAGAGCATAACATTCGTCAGATCTGCATGGTTTTGAAATCATTAAAGATGGTGGTCGGGGATGAGAGATGCAGAAAAACCGAGCTGGATGTGCACGTTAAGATGCTGCCCTGCCGGAGAAAACTGTTGTGGAGACAGGAAGAGGGTGGCAGATGCAAAAGCATAGGAGGGAGGAGAGAGGAGCAGTGGTGCAGGGGGAGAGGAGAGAGCGCTGACCTCTCCCTCTGCTCCTTCTCCCAGTCTGGGGCGGGAGGAAAGGCGGCCTTCCCCCAGAGAGAGCAGCTGCATCATTCGGGAAAAACCGGGTTTCCCAGGTTTCACAGTCCCCGAGGGGGAGCGGCTCCTGAAGATGAGGAGGATTTGAATCTATGAGGAGTTCCCTAGAACGCTCACTGGGACAGATTGCAGGAAGGGTCCTTGTGGGGCACAGAACTGAATCCAGGGAGGTTAAATCCCACTGAGGATTCAGGAGAGCAAGACGGCTCAGAGGGTTTCGTTTCTGGGAGCAGGAGGCTGCTGCTTCTGGACCCTGGGAAGGAAGATGCATCGCGGGAGAAATGCAGAAGCGGAAGATGAGGTTTCTCCTCCAGTTTCTGGCTTTAATGCCAGCTTCACACAGACAGCTCCCAAAGCCTGGGCCCGGCTGACATCTTGCAATTCTAACATTTAGACTTACATCCACGACCGAGCTGCGGGTTCTCCCTTCCTCTCAGAGTCCCGCCTCGTCCCTCCTGCAGCCCCGTCAGTTCCCCCAGATGCCTCTAGTCAGTGCTTCCTCTGCGCCCCTCTTCTCTTCAGCACGACTCTGACTGCTTCCCAACAGGTGTCCCTGCTTTTGCTGCTGAATCCTACAGCTAATGGAAACACACGCACACACGCACACACACATGCACACTAACGCCCTCAACCTCCCTTGGTTGAATAAAAACTGAGATTCGCCCCCTCACATGGCCCTGCACTATCTAGCTCCTGCCCTGTTCCACCCTTGTCTCCTACCCTCTTTCTGTGGCAGCCAGCTGCCCTTTCTGTTCTCCAGTGCCCCGCTGTGGCTGTGCACACCCTGGCCTGCCTTTGCATACATCGCTCTTCCTTTGGCCTGC